TATACATTTCTCCCTCCCGCTAGGCGAGCGTCAAGCAACCCTGAGTGAGTGCACCCAGTGGCGTTGCCTGGGAGGGTTCTCTCTGGTCACAGTGAAACTTTTCATAAAGGCTGTTTCGCTCGATCTGTTTCTTGTGATGGCCAATTTAAGAAAACAAGTGTGGCTGTGATATTTTGTTACCTGCTCAGGAAAAATGCCACAGAAACTGTTGTGATGTTGATCACACCTTACAAGGACAGCGCTACAGGGAAACCTCAAGTGTTCAGTGGTTTTTCTCATTTCAAAAAAGGTGACATGTCAATTAATAACAAACCTCATTCTGGATGTCCATCAACTTCCCCAACAGACGAAAATGTCAACTCTGTACTGCATTTGGAGTTCGTTCCACCAGGTCAGACTGCTAATCAACTTTCTATTTAGAGGTTCTGAAAAATAGTGTAACAGTGTGCGACAAAAAAGGCCTGATTTGTGGCAGACAGGGGGACTGTTTTTGCCATGACAACGCAGCCATCTCAGTGCACAAGTTTTTGGCAAAAAACAGCATGCCTCTCTTGCCCCACACACCTGGCTTCACTCCTGACCTCACTCCCTGTGGCTTCTTGTTTCCTCGAATGAAGAGGGACATGAAAGGACAGCGATTTGATAATATCGGAGAATAAAAACCAAGGGAGGTGCTATCAGCCATCCAAACAGATGAGTTTGAAAAATGTTTCTAAGAATGGAATCACAGGTTTGACACATGTATTAAGTGTAATGGAGAGTACTTTGAAGTTGGTAATGTTGTTTGGTCAAAACATTTAAATACATAGCGTTGGGGGGTGCATTTTTTGGAGGGGTCCCCCTCACCGTTCATCATCTAGCAGCTCTAGATGGCTCCAGCATCCCTGGGGGACAGTAGCCCCACGTTAGGAAACCCACGCTATTCTTTCGGACTCAGTCCAGCACACTCTGTTGCTGGGACGTGATGTGAGTGGCAGAAGGGAAGCCTGGTGGATCCAAGGCGGAAAGGAGCGGGTGAAGACAGAGGGCATGTGTGGGCTGACTGCACCCACCACGTGCTGCTCTGGGGCTGTGCGCAGAGCTGTAGGGCAGCATTCCAAGCAGAGTACGGGCTTTCAAACGGGACTGACCTGGTTTCTCATCCTGGCTTAGCTGTGGGAACTTGGACAAGTTCCTAAACCATTCAGAATCCCAGTCCTCACCACCTGCTCCCATCCAGCGGGCTGACTCATGGCACCCTGTGAGTTGGACGAGAAGCGCGCATAGGGTTTTCTGAAGCTCTCGTCGCCCCTCCCCATACAGGTGGGGTTGACTAGGGTACAGATTACAACTCTGGAGCAGTCAGACACAGTGCTTCTGCCGCCTCACCTTGCCAAACGCAGACCGCCGGGCCAGCCCCGCAGCCGGCACTCAGCCGAACTGCACAGAACGGACGGACATCAAGGTGCCCCAATCCTAAGTGTCAGGGAGGAATGAGGGAGGCACCTCTGACCTTGTCATCTCCCAGGAAGTCTGGCTCCACGGAAGGAGCCCAGCTTCCAGGTGATGTGACGTGCTCCCGGAGCTTCCTGCGCAAGCACTATACTGGCTCCCACGCCTGGCCCCTCCTGTACGGGATGGGATGGGTGGCACCAGGTACGCAGGAAGCCCGAGACAAGAGCCCTGAACAGGCCCAGAGGACAGCCCCCACCTGGGCCAGGGACCTGCCTACCGGCCTACAATACCAGGTTCTGACTCACTTCATCGGCACGGGAGGAGACCCACTGCCATTTCCAGACTCGGCTGACAGCCTGATCAGAGACGTCACAGAGCAAAGAGTGATGCAATGCAGCCTGGGTCCAGCCCGCCCCTTTCCCTCTGCTCAAGCGCTCGTACCCAGAAACCTGGAGGGACGGCCGCACAGGGGAGAGGGCCCAGCTCATGGCCCCCACAGGCAGCTGGGTCTCTTCAGAGCTACTGGGGCTGTCTTCATGGACCACCCATTGCTGCGAAGCTGAAGGTAATGATTTCTCAGGTAAAACACCGTGTTCGGGAAATGAAGGCCTTGCCACCCTGCCACCTTGACCTCAGGTCAGTGATTAAGTCACTCCAAGCCCCACTTCCGCAGCCACCAACCAGGGCGCCGAGCTGACCTATCGGCAACGTACTGGGGCCTGCGAGAGAGGGGTGCCAGTTCCAGGAACAGCTGCTTGTGGCTGCGAGGGCAGGTAAGGGGCAGCCCACTAGCTCCCATGCCTTCTCCAGGAGCTGTCTGATCTGTGCCATTAGACGGGGGCCAGGCCCTCAGGGGTACAGCAGGCCCTGGGTCTCCAGGGGCAGGTGTGGCCCCTAAGATGTGCACAGAAGGCCCTGCAACGGCAGAGACATGGGGACACTGCTTAGGGTGGGGCAGCAGGGAGGAGCCGGGACACTGGCACGCTTGCTGGGGCAGCAGCAGTGCAGGAAGGAACAGGACCATCATGGGAGCAGCACTCAGTGGCAGACTGAACAAGAGAACATGGCGGTATGGGGCAGCACCGCAGCTTCCCTATTGCCCTGTGACCTTGATCAAGTCACCCCATCCCCACAGGAACACAGAAAGAGCCAGGGTTAAGACCAGATGGCCACCCCTTGGCCCAGAGCTCCTGGCAGGAGAGGTTCAGCACCATTCCTTCCCCACTGACATGCCCTCGGATGATGCAAGGCAGGCGGAGTCACACTGGCTCCTGGGGCGGCCCAGGGAGTGGCATCTTGACGAAGGTTCTGGAACAATCACACCTGTCTGCTGCTGCTGGTGCCCCAGGAGCTCGCCCACACCTGGGAGAACTCTGCAGTGGGCCCCCTCCAGACTCCCCAGCAATGAGACAGCAGAGCTGGTTCAATAAAAGAAATCCTTTACTGAGAGCAACTGACACCACATCTCAGTCTGCAATGACAATGAATCCCAGCTCGGCTGATGGCTGTCGGGGAGGAGCTGTCCGAGACCCCACACCAGTGACCTGCCCGTGTCCTCACTCAAGGCCTCTGTCCCATCTTTTTCAGGGTGCGATTGAGCTAGGAGAGGGAGAAAGCCAGGTCAGCGATGCGGTTGTCCCAGGTCCCTCCCCACAGGTGCGCAGACACAGGGAAGGAGCCTCGGGATCGGGACATTGCCCTGTCATGCTTTGAGCCTCACCCACTTCAGGCACATTGCTCTTCGGCCCTGTCTCCCATCACCCGGCCCACATTGTTTTCCAGGACAGGTGTCTCTGGTTCGAGAACAGCTCACCAAAGGTTAGGGGGCAACCCTGGAGAGCAAGTGGGGTAGGGGGCGGGGGAGCCTGGGACAGGGGGCACTGCACAGCAGCGCCCTCTGCTGGAGGACCCAGAGTGCCAGGCTGCAGTGGCTCCGTGAAGGAGCCCCACACCCAGAGCTCCACCTCTCCCAGGGTGAGATTGGGGGGCAGGGGGCCCACCAAGTCTGCTCAAAGGGACTCCGTGTCCTCCTGCAGGCCTGGCCAAATCTGTCTGAGATAGAGCGCAGCTGCCAAAAGGGGAGTGGAGGCAGACATGAATCCACCCATATTAGGAAACACCAGGCGGGGATCTTGGAAAGAGATACTCCAGAGACAGCTGACTCAGCAGCGGGCCCAGCCCCTCGCCCCGCACCCCAAGGCTTTCTTGAAACCGGAATTGAGAAGGAAGAAATCTTACAAGTCCCATCCACCCCAGTTCCAAACCCTCTCACCTCCTCGAATTTATGAATCTGCCTGATGAAGAAATCCCCATAGCGCCTGGCCACCTTGGTGTCTGCGATGTGGATCATGTCCTGTGGGGAGCAAGCGGGGTCAGAGAGCAGGGAGGACCTGGCCCACTGCCAAGCCTGCGCACGCTTTCCAGAGGGAAGGGCCCCAAGGAAACCCACCAACAGCCCATCTCATTGTTCTAAGCATGATTTAAAGTCACAACATAGAAGTGTGACTTCTATGTTGAGGAGGCCACCTTTGCGTTTTCTCCCTGTTGATGTGCTTTTATTGTCTAGTCTTTAAAAAACAAGCGTGAGATGTGACAGTGGAGTGAGGTACCATATGCAGTTGACAGGTTTACAGGCGAGGCCAGTCTTTACATCCTGCGCTCAAAGGGCTCCTGGAGACAAGCTAGATTAAAGCTCAAGAACTTTCTGAACTTCTTGGATAGGATCCTCTCAAGTCGAGGAGTAAAAGAAAACCGGGGAGAACCCACATACGTAGCCAAAAATGTAGCACATTTTGCCAAAATTAAACTTGAACCAGTAATATAGAACCAATCAAATATAAAACATGCAATTAACATTTTTGGATGGATGTGACCCAACTGCATACAATCAACAAATGAGCATGAATCACGGCTCTCGAGCAGCGGCAGTGGGAAACGAGCAATTCTTCCCTGGTGCTGCTCCTTATCCTGCTCAGCTGAGGCTAGCTTCAAAGCCTCACTAATTTGATCAGAAAACGACCTCACAGCAAAAGTTTATTTGTAACAACCAAACATTAATTCCTAGGAGTCTTCTGTGAAAAGCAACCAGTGCTGGGACTAGCTTCCATGGCAAAACTAGGTCCTAACCAGAAAGGCTTTTTACAAACGGCCTTCTTGTTCTCGAGAACCAGGGTTGCACAGGTTCACTGAACCACCACCGGGCAGAAGAGGGCTGCTGCGAGTCATGCGGCCCCACCAGGCACCGAGCCGGGCTCCTGAAGAGGCTAGCGAAGCGATGGGCTAGACACGACAGCGTGGTCTCATTGTTCTGAGCATGATTTAAAGCGGCATTGAAACATGTCTGCCCACGTTTGGTGAGTCTATTTGTAGCAGGCTGAGCGTTCACAACCCCCTGCACCGTGAAGTTCAGCAGTGCCTCGCCCAGGACGCAAAGACATGCATCCACACGGAAACTTGCACACGGCACTATTCCTGAAAGCATGCCAATGTCCTTCCACCGAAGGATGAAAGAAGCACGGTCCACGCGCACACTGGAGGATTACTCAGCGAGGTGGAAGGACACACGGACACGTGGTACGACAACATGGCATGCTCCCTGAAAGCAGCCAACCACGAGTCCACTGAGTGCAAACTTCCAGAAGAAACAGACCCACGGAGACAGGAAGTAGACCAGTGGTTCCCAGGGGAGGTGCAGCGCCTGTGCGACTGCTAACGAGGGTTGGGAAGGTTCTGGAATGAGCTAGCAGAGTTGGCTACACAATGCTGCTACTATATACCACTCACCCTCAACTGCACACCTCACGGGAATCGGTCTTCAAAGCAGGAAGGCTTTCTGCCCCAAGGGCATTTTTTTTTCTTTCTTCCCCTCCCCACCCCAAAGCCATTTGCTGACCCTAGAAAACTTCGGCTGAGAGGACCTTCCTTGTTTAAACTGACGCCCTACCCAAACGGTAAGCCAGAAGTAAGCGGCCCACCCTCTCCCCACGCTAAGCAGAGGCTGCCAAGCGGGAGGAGGGAGCTAGCGACAGCACCCCCATCACATGTTCCGGCCACAAGCTGACTTAGCAGCCCAGGCCTGTGGCAGGTGACGCGGCGGCCTAGAGGCTGAGAGCTGTTTCCGGCAGGCCTGGATGAAGGTTACTGCTACCTCACGGAGGCAAAAGCCATGCTTCTCCACGGAGGACTGAACAGTTACCATGGCATCAAAGGATGCCAACCAATGGGGTTTTAAAGCCAATGAACCACAGGCAATAAAAAACGACTGAGCACAAAAGAAAACCCGGCACCATGTGTTAAAAACAGTAACAGAAAGTAAGAAACAAGTCCTAAAGAGAAGAATTCAGGGATAGCGATTCATCACAGGACATTTTCCAGGAGGCAAGAAGACAGTACACATGGCCGAACTGAGGAGACACGAGGCACAGAAGAGTAAGGTCCACCATCCGTGAATTCCCATAATCCAGTGCCAGGACGGGAGAACGCAGCAGGAGTTCTACCAAAAGGGCGATGGGCAGAATACCCTAGGACAGATGAAACCCACCAAAGTTTTCAGGCCACAGGTCTGCGTGCGTGCGTGCATGTGCGAGTGTGCACGTGTGCGTACAAGAACAGGAGGTGAAGTTGGGGGGGGGAGGGGGGCAGAATGTTCCAATAAAGAGAACAATTCCAAAAGTTGAGGTTCTGAACTTAAAAAATAAAGAAAGCAGACCAACAACGAAGTCCTTTCCAAAGCCTCCCTGGGATATTAAACGTCCACAGCTTGAACAGAGAAAACAAAACCCCCTTGTCCCTCAGCCTGTGTGTCCTTTCCAGAAAGAATTCCCTGCAAACACGACTGTGCAAATACATTCCACATGGCAAGAGAACGAGGCCACCACATTCTGGTTTCCCCGGGCAGCATGGCGGCCTGTGAGGATTACATTTCTACATACTGCCGTTTGTTAGGGGCGGAAACACTGTGGGGACCACAAGCGACCACGGCCACTGGAAAAATGGCGCCGGCCGACTTGCTTGAGCAAGCAGGGTTACCACAACCCTTCAATTCGTTAAAGATGCAGCCTCTGCGAAGACCAAACACAGAGCATGGCTGTACTTACAAAGGCCAAGCCCCAAGCCGACCACTGACAGCCACTCTATAAAAAGCCTCACGCGGCCTTTCCACAAGAGGCAGAGCCAAGCGACACACGGTCCGTCCACAGGAGGGGCACCGAGCAGCAGGCAGAAAGGAACTGGCACCCACGCGACACAGGGTGGCCTCTCCCTCAGACCTAGGTGGGGGAGCAAAAGCGGCCAGACACGAAGGCTCCGGCCTGTGCCACTCCAAAACGCTTGTGGGAAACCGCCCCCCATCTTTCCACTCCATCTCGCATGCACTTTCTGAAGACAAGTCGTCACCTTACAAATAGCACTCGGGCTGAGGGCTGCAGGTGGGCGAGGGGACAAAGGGGTACGGCATCCCAGGGCTGGGCCTCGGTCACATGGGTGTGGGTGCAGTTTATGACAAACAAACACGCCGACAACGTTTGTGCGTGAAAAAGAGCTCTCCTCAAGAAGACTTGGGAGGGGGAAGCCTCGCACGCTGACCCTTTCCATAGCTGCTCTGGGTGGAAAAGACCCCAGAAAGCGCTCCCTCCCAGTCCTACCCCACCAGGCCCTGAGGAGGATCTGTAAAGTGCAGCGAGGGAGGGGAGGAGCGTACTCACAACGGCCTGTTCGGGTCCCTCCACCCGAGGAGAAGGTACTCCCTGCCTCCACCGGGCCCCTCGCACCCCCAGCAGGAACCCCCCACCTCTCACCACGCGACCCTCCTCGGTCTCCCCAGAGGAGGCGCTGAGGGTGCAGCCTGCTCTCGGGCCCAGTCACTGAGCCAGGCTGTGTAAAAGAGCGGGGCCAGGCCTCCCCGTGGAAGCCAACAGATCAACCAGGCGGGGGCAGACTGGTAGGCTGGTGTGGAACCCAGCTGTGTTTTGCGTTAGGTTTCAATCTTATTCATTTTCCCCTCGACTGCTTAAGAAGGGCAAGAGGTTTCACAACACAGACAAGGGCACTGTCACCCTGTACCCCAGCCTAGCTGGTGGGTCGGCCTCCTTAGAACACCCGGACCTGCCTTCTCATCAGGGCAATATGGCCGCCCCCTTCCTGACACACAAACGGCTCACTGCTGCTAAGGGCCCTGGCTATAGCGGTCCCCTCTGCCTGAACGCTCTCAACACCCCACCCCCGGCCAAACACCATCTTTGAACATGGGGCACCCTATTTACCACCGCTAGTTTGTCTGTGCCCAACCACCGCCCCCACCCACACTGGACAAACATCTAGCCCGAGTAACGTTCATCTCTCCTGTCTACTTTCCTCACTAGTGTGTGAGCAAGGCATGAGCGGGACACACACACACACACACACACTACGGCCCACAGGCGGGGAGAGCCTGCCCGCAGAGAGGTGCCCGCCGGGTGGCAGCGTACCTTATCGATGTAGAAGTCCACCTCGGAGGCGGACTGGAACTCGCCGTCCAGTGCGGAGATGCCGCTGGTCCACACCAGGTTCTTCATCTTGTGCTTGAAGACCAGCAGCTGGATGCGGAACTCCTGCTCCGTGAGGTCCAGGAAGCCGGCCAGCTTGGCCACGGGCATGGTGGTGTAGAGCTTGAGGAAGCTGCGGATGGTGGAGAGCTGGGCCTGCTGCTGCACCTCGTCCGAGAACACCTTCAGCTGCTGCAAGAAGGGCTCCTTGTGGTAGTTAGGGTGCACGTTGTCGTAGTTGGGCACCACGGGCGACAGGAACTTGGGGCAGGAGTAGCTGAAGAGCTCCTCGTAGACCTGCGGGTCGCCCTTCTGCATGCGCAGCATCTTGTCCCCGTACTTCTCGCGCAGCTGCAGGTGGACGCTCTCGTCGATGCGCATGGGGTACATGGTGAGGGCGATGGCCAGCAGCGCGTGCATCTGCTCATTCTGCTTGTTGATCTGCCGGGGCGACAGGGGTGTGCGCCACGTGACCTGGCCCTGCTGAGGTCAGCCCTCCCTCTTCTCACTCCACGACCTTGTCCTAGTTCCAGGTGCCTCCAGCTGTCTCGTCTAGTTTCTCCAGCCCACCCCCACCCCCACCGAGGGCAAGTGTCACTGTGAGGAAAGGACCTCGTTCGTTGCCCACAGAAAAGAACCCTGAACATGAAATGCCAGCCAGTCAAGGTCAGGCCAGCATTCACACCCATCTCTCACTACTCTGCCCTCCAGCCCGTGGGTTCCCAATATATTTGGCCTGCTGTCAGAAAGAAACAAAATTACTCAGCACCCCTCATGCACCCACCAGCATGAAGAATTTGTGTCCTATAACCCACCATCCAGGATCAAGTGTATGTAGAGAAATGCTTTTGCAGCCCCCGACATTTTTCCAGTGGCCCCAAGGAGTGGTACCACCCGCTTTGGAAAACTCAACTGTAGCCAAAATGATGCCCCATGGGGCCAGATGACCACACTTTCAGGGTCAATGCCTTTGCTTAGGCTGCCTCCTATCCATGGACATGACTCGCCGGCTGCCTGCCCCTGTTCACCCACAGATGTAACGTCCTGGTAGACACTGGACGCTGGGTGAACACACGTCGCACTGAGCGCTGCTGGGGAACAAAGGGAAGGAAGGGTATTGCCCTTACTCTTCAGGACTCAGAACCGCTACAGTAGGACAGCTTTGGATGGCGGGGAGGACAAACTGCCTGGGCCTCTTACCATCTCATACTTGTACGTGGTTCTCTGGAACATGCTCTTGGTCCTCTGGATGTAGAGGAGGATGTTGGCAAAGACCCGGATGGCGTCCTGGTAGCGGCGCATCATCAGGTATGCAAACCCCACGTAGTAGTAGGTGGTGACCTGGCACTCGGGCACCCGGGAGTACATGCTCTGTGGAAGGGGGCAGGAGAGGCAGCTTGAACCCCGAGGCCAGTGCATCCTTGGCAGGACCTGGACGTTGTTGGGGCCTGGGGTCGGCTTCCCCCTCTGAGCACAGGCAGCACTGCTCAGAGATGGAAGGCCTTGTTTTCTTAGCAATGGCGAAAAGGACTGGACCAGACGACCCTGAAATTCTCTCTTCACGCGGGGTTGTTCTCGGCCCGCTGCTTTTCCAGCTACCCTCGTAAGGAGCAGACACCCAGCAAAACCCAAGTAAACATCTAGCTGAGCCACCTTGGGCCATCGAGCCGGTTCTGGCTCACAGCCACCCTACGGTTACAAATCTTCATGCCATCTTCTTCCTGAGGAGTGAATGGTAGGTTTGAACCACTGACCTCAAGGTTAGCAGCCCAATGCCTAACTCACAGCACTACCGGGGCCCCTATGGCTCATACACACATCGGAATACGACTCAGCCAAAGGGGAGATGAAATCCTGATACATGCTACAACGCGGTGCATCTTGAAACATTACGCCGAGTGAAATCAGTCAAATACGGTATGATCCCCACTCACATGACTTAGCCACAGTAGGCAAAGTGTACAGAGATGAAGTTCATCACTAATCACCATGGTAGGAGAGAGAGGATAAAGATGACCAAATACTTTGGAGACACTGAGCTGCTGTTTGGGGGGTAGCCATTTTGGGATAAGGCTAAAGGTGACAGGTAAACAACATGCTATATACAAGCAATCCACTGAATTGTACGTGTTGCTAAAGTGACACTTTACGAAGCTTAAATGTTGTTGCTGAAGATAATCACAGAATGTACATGGATTCAACAACTTCTGCGTGCACAGTTCAGTGCTATTGACTGAATTCTTTAAGTGGTGCAACTACCCTCGCCCGTTTTTGGAATGTTCCTTCCCGTTAATCTTTCCCACTGCCGTTTGTCAGGCTGACCCACAAGTCCGCCAGAGGCTCTTCGCTAGCTGAACTCCAGGGTGCGCTCTGGCTTCCAGTTTAGAGAGGATCTCAGGGAAGGACCAGCCCTCCTGGTTCCAGAAAGCCTAGATCACATGAGAATTTGAAGTTCTGTTCCGTGTTTCCCTCATTGGACCAGAATTCTGCCACAGACTCCTTGGTCAACAGGACCGACAGCAAAGGAGGCAGTTACTCATGGAGCCACGTAGCTGCATACGCCACGGAATGGTCAATGTTCCCGTGGAGTTACCACAGCACCAAAACAAAGTGACTTCTCTCTCTGTGGCTAGAACAACAGCTGGTCATACAAGGAGGTCCAGAGAGCTAGTAGAAAAAAATCTATTATCGTTTACTTCCATTTTCCCATACATTTCCTCACAAATTGATCCCAAATTCCTACACTGTCTTACAACAAAATCTCTTGTTTCCTCTTTAAAACTAGAGACTCTTGAAGAGTGAAGATCTGCCCTCTCCAGTGCTTTGGAAGCAGAATCCAAAGGCCAGTGAACATGAGCATGCTGCGAATGTTCTGGAAGAACAGAGAGGACCCGTCTCGTCCAGATGCAGAGGTCCACCTCAAGGAGGGTCTTCCCTCTCCCTAAAGCAGGCCACCAGATCCCTTTCTGCCCGCAGATGGCCATCCTGCCTCTGCCCACCAGGCTGGGGAAGAGGCCCTTACCTTCTTGTTCAGTTCGATGTTCTCCAGCACCTTGATGGCCTGGTAGTAGTCCCCCAACAGCGAGTGCAGGCGCAGCAGTCCCACCAGGCTGAAGTAGCCGAGCATCTTGTAGAGGGAGTGCCGTCCATACTCCCCAGCCACACTCTCGGGGTCACCTGGAAGGAAGGCAGACACGGACAGCTAGCAGCAGGCAGGGAAGGATGGCTGGGTGGTGGTGGTGCCACCAAGAGAGAAGAGCTGACTCCAAGGAGCCCGAGACACAGCGTGCCCAGCAGCTCTCGTGAAGGGTGGGCGCTAGCTTCTCTCAGTCCAAGAGGCCCGATCTCACCCCAGGAGAGGGGTAACTGGCCTTTCCTACTGCGTTGCCCTTTGCCCTGATGAGGCAAAAACAATGGCACGTGGACCGCTGACAACGTAGGCCACATCAGGCGCTGACAGCAGGCTGCACCAGTTGTAGTTGTCACTCACTGGCTTCCCCTCCAGGAGCACAGGCAAAAAGAACTCGCCACCCTTTTCCCAGGGAACATTTTCACTGTCAGAGCGGCTGACGCAGGAAGCAGGGGGATTCAGATGTGGCATCTATCTGAATCTATCTATCTAGACGTTTTCTCAAAAACAGGGAAGTGAGCAGCACGCTCCGAGGGATGTAACTGACTGTTCCTTTGCTGTTTGTTGCCAAAGATCATATTCGAGCTCCGAAATAAAAATGAGCCTTTTGCAAAACTTACACCTGTTACTAACCGCTTGTCAGATGAAGTGAAAATAACAAATGTTAGTTTTTGTTGTATAGGAAAATCTATCCCCGCCCCCTCCCCCAGGGGAACGAACAACCAGAAAGTGGATGAAGGGAGACAGCGGACAATGTAAGATATGAAGATAATAGTGATTTATAATTTATCAAGGGTTCATGAGGGAGGGAGAAAATGAGGAACTGATACCAAGGGCTTATATAGAAAGAAAATATTTTGAAAATGATGGCAACATATGTACAGAAGTGCTTGACAGAATGGATGGATGGATGGATGGATTGTGAAAAGAGCCGTATAGGCCTCCAATAAAATGATTTAAAAAAGATCTACCCATACTTGGAAGAGCTTTCTAACACAGCAGTCAATATTTTCCAAATGACTAATACACAATATCACAAACCATGCAGAGATGAAAATACACAAACCATGCAGGGATGAAAACATCCCTGTAAACCGTGGACAGACGGACTAACTGACACGTCACAAAGTAGAGCTCAAGACACTTCAGATCTGCCCTGTGAGGAGTCTCCATGCACAGAACCAGCTGGTGTGGAGGATCAAAGAACAGCTGCAGTTGCAGCACAGTTATTAAACGTTACTCCTCTTTTTACCAACTAAGTGTCAGGGTGTGGCCCTATTGTCCCCACAAGCTTTAAAGCAGACTAAAACAGACTGTGTGCAGATCCAGACACGAACACAAATACCTCTAGTAAAACCAGACACTAAGGAGATTTGTAAAAACACGTTCTTCGTGGGTCTCAATGTTTTAAGAGTGTAGCGGCCCCTGACGTCACTCGGTCTGAGGAGTGGTTCTCTACACAGAGGCTGGGGACAGAGGAGCTGTCTTCTGCCCACTCCACCCTGGCCAGCAGCAGCCGCCCACACCAGCTCTCAAGCGAGCGTTCCTCCCCAACTACCAAAGGGGCGCAGAGCCCCGCGCCAGGAAGCCGGTGGCACTCACCCCCGCTGGTGTACACTTCCAGCTGCCGGTTGATGTTAGACTTGTCCACCAAGGAATGCAGGACGTTGAGGACGCTGTGAACGTTCCAGATTTTGGGATTGGACCGGAGGAAGTCAATCTCCTCCTCTGACTTCTTGGCGGTCTTACAGCGGTACTGACTGAACGATTGGAACTGCAGAGGGAGGAGAGAGGCATCGGTGGGGAGAGCCACGTGCACACTCGGAAAAGGAGGCGCTGCCGAGGACTCTGGACAAGGGCGAGGGAGGGGAGCTGAGCCTGCGGCTTCACTCAGACCCACACTCTACCTAGCTGTGTGCGACAGGCAGCTGATTCAGTGATGAATTTTGTTCAATACAGAATTTATGACTGAGTTAGTTAATTGTGCCAGCCTGGTCGATAATCACATGTGGGGCTGGTTGAAAGGCGGAGGGATAAATGGGTGGTGAAGCCTCGCCTTTCTAGTTCTCGGGTCTCTTGTTTTGTGATGGTTGCATCGGGTGCAGCTGCCTTAGCAGTTCCCCGCTTCAGCTTGCAAGATTGATTTCCTACAAGACATCCCCAAGGAGAAGCCGCATGGATCTATCCCGATGCAGCCCTGGGTGCTGGAGCAGCCGTGTGGAGACCCCTGCCAGTGCTGAGATGCTTACACGTTCACGGACTCAGCTTTCCTCCTGCAGTCGGCATCATTGCCTCTGTTTTGTGAGGTGAAGGACTTTGTGGACTGGTGTTGGGTATGGGTTAATGTTGGACTTGTGGGCTTGGGCAGCATTGGGTTGGGATGTTTTCGTGATGCACATTTTCTTTGCATAAAATTCTCTCTTATACGTGAGTTGCTGTGGATTTGTTTCTCCAAAGTACCTAGACTAATACAATGATTTATTCCATATTTAAGTAAAAAATCCCTAAGGTTACAATAACCAGCAGTTGACATGTAGGTCTATAAGGGGACTTCAAAAGTGCATGGAAAAATGAAATTAAAAAACAATAAAAATTTCCCACAAATTTTTAGAAGACCCCTCATATATGTGTGTGGGAAGGCACACATTTATAAGCACTGCAAATATATTCGTATATAAAATTATACAATTATCTAAGGGTTACAGTCATAGATAACCCCTACACCCCATGGACTCAATTCCTATTCCTATAGTAACACTATCCATTCTGTCTCGGCGATCCTACAGCACAGGGCAGGACTGTCCCTGTGGGTTTCCAAGACTGTAGCTCTTTACAGGGACAAAAAGCTTCATCTTTCTCCTGAGGAGTGGCTGGTGGCTTTGAACTGCTGACCTTGCAGTTAGCAGCCCAACGCAGAGCCCACTACACCAGCAGGGCTTATTATGATACAATATAAACATAACTGGATACCTGGAGGGGTTGGGACTCTAGTGGCATGACTCAGTTAACCAGCACAGTGTAATTCACAAAGGCCAGGTTCTTTGTCTTAGTTTGGTCAGCTGCAGCTCGACTGTTAAAAGCTCAGAAGCAGTTTCTGATACAATCATTGGTCCTTAACTCCCCTGGAACCAAAAGAAGGTAATTAAAGACTCAAGACACAGCCCACAGGGCCCACGGCCTCATCCAGACGGAGGCCAGAAGTGACGGGCCCAGCTAACCCCACTGTCTGCTCTGACCAGGGACATGACGGAAGGTCCCAAACAGAACAGGAGAACATGTAACACAAAACCCAAGTTCCTAAAAACAGGCCAGACTTGCTGTGCTGCTAAGAGACTAGAGGAACTCCAGAGATTATTGCCCTCAGATACCCTCTCAATTTAGAACTGAAGTCACCCCGGTGGGGGGGTTCCCCTTTCTTCTAATAAACAGCATCACTTGGGCACACTGTGCTCCCTAAATCGCCAACAACCTGAGGCTGGCGCAAACCAGCCAACAAAGAGGAGAGGCTCAGGGAGTACAGGAAGAGAGATGAATGGAAACAACAAGTGGAATGGAAATAACGGGAATGTGGACAAATCATGAAAACTGTAACCAGTGACAGCAGTTAAAGTACAAAATTCTTAAATGGAAAGCTAATTTCCTAATTGGCTGTGTGAACTTCCACAAGTGCAAACAAGACACCGACTGGCATCAAGCGGGTTCTGACTCACAAGCGCGCTGCGGGCAGGAGGACTGCTTTTCAGGGTTTCCGAAGCCGTCAGTGTTTGCAGGAGGACAAAGGCCCCTCTTGTTCCCTCAGAGCAGCTGGGAAGTGTAAGTGGCTGACCTTGTCATTAGCGGCTTAGTACTTAGCACCACCACAGCTCTACCAAAAAACGGTAAAACCGTGAGATTAAGGGTAGTTCTTGGGGGAGAAGGAAAGGGCTTAAGGTGGACTCAAACAAACACAACCTAGGTGCATACGGCTTCCGGATCCCGCTGCTGTGAACCAGGCCACTACATCACAGGTATGGCCAGGGCTTAGCCAGGAAGGGTCCAGTTTACAAAGCTGTTCCCCATGATGGGAATCCAGTCCGAGTCACCTGCCTACCAATCCAGAACCTGGCCCAGTGAGAGAGAGCGCGCGAGACACACACGCACATTCACACGCACATGACAGGCCACAGGCATTTGTGTAAGACACGGTTCTACATGGGCTGGCTCAACAGATGCCTGGAAAATAGCACAACTGATCTGGCCACAAAGTCAAAAGGCTGCAACAGGTTCCTCTGGTCCCCTCAGGCTCGGAGACCCACTAGTAACCGGGTACTCCAGGTCCTATAGGCGTAAGCCTGCTTTCACCCCTCTATCAGGATCTCCCGCGGAGAGTGCATGACAAAAAGTTCCCAATCTGCAATCAACCCAGAGGAATGTCCCGCCCTAATAGCGAATCTACCACGTACCAATGCGAAAAGGCTAATTCAGGACGAAACAAAGAACATGACCAACATGTAAACCGCCAACGCTCCTGGACTCGGTATTTACTACAGCGCCCTGGTGACATGGGGGTTAAAGCGTGCAGCTGCTACCAAAGAGCTGCCGGTTGGGGTCTACCAGATGCTCTGCAGAAGAATGAGGCAATTGGTGTCCATCCGGATTTCCAGTCTCAGAAATCCCATGGAGCAGTTCTACTCTTGTCCTACAGGTGGCGATAAGTCAGAATCGAAAATTGAAACCCATCCTCAGGGAGGCCTGCCTAGGTGTGCCGCACAGCCAGGAGCGGTGTCTCAGGCAGTAGAAAGCTGCAACTGTGGTATTGAGGGAAGTGAGGTCTCTGCAGAGAGAAGCAGGCAGGCCCCGTGGCTTCAGTTTCAAAGCACAACCACAAGGCAGGGCAGGGAGAGCCCTGGCCCAGAGTGGCGTTGACTTGGCTGGAGAGAACCCCAGCAGGCACCCGAGCCCCTCACAGGACAGCCCGTGTTGAAGGAGAGAGCATTTTCCTTCAGCTCTGTACATGAGCTGACGCTGAGCCCAGGGCCATCGTTAGGCTTCTCCTAAGAGGGACGAAGAACCTCAGCGAGCAGATGATGCTCGTGGGCTTACTCCGAGTCCCCAGGACTGCCCACCCCAGAGGCTCACAGAGGACACGGGGGTCGGAGAGCACAGAGGAGGCCGGTTAGTTGGTGGCCTTGGCTGTAGACAGACACTGAAGTCTCTCCCAGCACTTGGCATTCACCACATCGCTCTGCTCCCTGGGGCCCAAAGATTGCCTTGGTTAAGGAAGCATTCCAGGATGGAACCATTCGCAAACAGATCAGGTGACGGGACTTGTAGTGTGAAGGATGAAGAAATGCCAGGGAGGGAGGGGAAGCCAGAAGCGCCACAGATGAGACTGGCAAAGTAGGTTTAACTCTCTACGCGAGAAGATGAGCCACCAGGGGTTCCCTGCACCGCTCTACTTCGGTCTATCTTTAAAATGCTAAAAAGAAGTAGCCCACCACCTTGAATGTAAAGATGAGGAAATAAAGGTATCACGTGGTTAGGGAATTTGCCCAAAGTCTGGCAAATAGTAAACTTTTCTCCCCCGATGGCTCTGCGTGGGCTGAGCACTTGCTCATCGGCACTCAGGGCAGATATGCAATGTCATTCTCATCTAGCGCACGCCAAGGTAACCACCTACTTACTCCCCGCACCTGACCCCACGAGCAAGATAGGAAATGCTTCTGTTTAGCAGATGGGGAAATGGGTTCAAGCTCAAACGCTGCAGCCGCACAGCTACAGAGCTGCCAGGTGATGATCTCCACCCAGGAGCCCATGTCCTCCTGTCTCCAAAGCTGGCTGAGCTAGTGTTAGTCCTGCCAGACCCCTTCTCAGGAAGAGTGGGGAGAGGGGAGTCAGAAAACGGGTTCCCATGACTCTGTGGGCTGAGGTGGGCTATCTTTATGCATCTTTCTGACAATGTAAACAGTGGAAGCAGCGCCCCCTGCCTGCACTAACTCTCGCCACACCACTCCCCCAGTGAGCCGCCAGCTAGCTAGGTACCTGGTAGATGAACTCATCGATGATGTCCCACAGCCACTGGTTGGGCAGTTCCAGGGGAGCTGGGCCATCAGCATCTGTGCAGGAAGGACAGGACGCCTTTTATCCAACCAATACCAAACCACGCCCACTGCCACTGAGCCAATGCTGCCCTTGTGGGTGGAAGGCCAAGTCTTTCTCCCCCTTCACCCCAGGTCCCAGTTAAGTCCGAGGCGATGCAAGGACACTGTGCATTCAGCAGAGCCCAGGCAGGCTGCTGTGCCATCTCTCTCTTAAAAAGACCCCCAACAGCAAGGCCCCTCCCACTCAAAGCCGCGCTCCTCGCCACCAGCACTTACTAAGAATGTAGTTGAAAAGATTGCAGTAGTTGTAGTAGGATTCAAACCTCTGCTCCAAGGAGGGTCCCCCCTGCAAAGAAAAAAGTGTTATCAGAACAGATTAGCAATTTAGTTGATTCCAGGAACTCCTCCGATGGCACAGTGATTAAAGCACTCAGTAACGAAGCAAAAGGCCATCAGCTGCTCCGTGGCAGAAAGCTGTGCAGCCTGCTTCCATACCCACTGCAACCCGGGAAAGCCGGCTGTTACTATCTGCCCTCCTGAGGTCGGGACGGTGGCAGTGGGTTTCAATGTCTGCCTGTCTTCTCCTTCCCGGTAGGTGACAGGGCACTCTCAAAGGACCGAGGCGAGTGTGGCAGCAGTTCAGACAGGCAGCGGGTCCTGCAGACCCCAATGGTCAAGGCTGGGGAAACGGACAGCACCTGGCCCATAGGGATGAACTCGGCATGAGATGCGGCAAGGCCGAGGGGAGGGGAAGGTGGTTCATTGGAAGAGCAGGGAAAGAGGTAGAACCCGGTGCCTAAGGTTGGGGAGGGCCGCCAGAGCAGAAGTCTTCAAGGAGCCAACAAGATTCTAGGCAAGGGGTTGGGTTGACCACCTGTGGCTCAGTGGTCAAATCCAGCTCACTACCTGTTTGATGGACACATAGTGACATGCCCACTCAGGGCCTAGGTACTCTGGGGCCGCAGTGCCCGGTTGAGCAGCTGCCACAGAGACCAGCATGGCCCTCGAAGCCTAACATACTTACTATCTACGCGGCCCTTTATAAAGACCCCCGATCTAGACTATGCTCCCAGCAGCTGCGCAGCCCTGTGGGTGTCGGAGCGGGGGAACAAGATGGGCAAAGCAGCCGCGCGGGAGGAGGACGAACAGAGCCCTGGGGTCTCGGTCCCAGCTCTTCCTAATTTGGTTCTGGCAAGTGAGTCTTCCTGTAAAAACAGGGACGAAAGCAGGCCCCTTAGGGAGTTACAATCAAGAAATGCCCCTCCAGTGAACTACCCGGGGTATTAAACAGGGGCAGGTGAGGCCCAGGGCCTCCTGCACAGCTTAGGCAGCGGACCGTCTCCAGCTACAACCAGTCGCAGAGGGTCCTGGGCTCCAGCGGTCCTCTCAGGGGATGAGCAGTGAGGGATGAGGAGAGGTCCTGGCACCAGCTTCCTTCCCCAGGTGCCCACACCCCAGGTGTCCACACAGGGACACGTTACCAGCAGAAATCAAATGTAATTCTAGACCACATTGTAACATGGGTAGGGCAACGACCGTGTCCTGCACGGAGTTTGCCTTCTGGTGGGCAAAGTGAACAAACACGCCGCCAGCTAGGGGCAAGTGCTCAGACGTGTCAGAGCACTGTATGGCCACAAGTTCATGGGAGCAAGGGGAAAATCACAGAAACAGAGCCCTACAGGGGGGCCGGGCCAGCTCAAACAGGGACATGGCTGAGACTCGAGATTAAGCTCGAGTTCCAAGAAGGGTGACCTGCTGGAGCTTCTCTCTCAAACAGAGCAGCCCCCCCCACCCCCAGTCATTATGATGAGAGCACATTTTGAGTGGGCAAGAGTGGAAGCGGACACCAGCCTAACGCTCTCACAATAGTTCAGAAAAGAAATGTCAGTGGCCGAAACCAGGGTGGTCGCATTGCTGTTGCTGTTGTTAGGTCCCTCGGAGTAGGCTCCATCTGACTCAGCGACACGACGCACAAGAGAAGGAAACACTGCCCGATCCCAGGCCGGCCTCACCATTGCTCTGTGTCCGAGCCCACGGTGGGCGTCACAGTGAGCACGTGAGACAAGTGCTGACGACGGAGCTCAACAGGACTTGCTGGGAGGCAGGATGCAGAGGAGCGAAAACTCAAGAACGCGGTCTGAGGAGCTAGGGGACTGCTGGGACTATTTATGGAGATGAACTCGAAAAAACAAGCTTAGAGAAACACAAGAAGTCAGAGACCAGATGTAGACATACAAATCCAGACCACAGTGGAGAGACTGAGGCTGAACACACTCAAGGCGGTGCTGTCTATGAACGGTACAGGAAGCACTGTAAGAGGTTCAGCGCTCTGAAATGTAGAAATAAGGAAGAAGAGAAGGTAGGAAGCACCCAAAGTTGGGCTAGTGTGATGGAAAGAACCCTGGAGTTACAGTGAAAGCTCCGGTTCAAGGAGCTTTGTCCCTTGAGCTTGTTACTTGCTGCTTGCATGGTCTGACAAGCAAACCATTTCCTGCCTCAGTCTGCCAACTGTGCAGAGGCACTATGAGGTGTCTGCCTGGCACCCGAGCAGTGCCACGCACATTTCAGAGGAAGGGAAGCTCAGTGGAGATGCACTGGCGAGCACAACGAAGCGCTTTCCCCACTGGGCTCCCTGGGCGGGGAGCATCCTGTCCCAAGGGCAGTTAGGAACCCGGTGAATGGTGACGAGTGCCCAGGCCACCCAAGAACGTCAAGGGTGGAGACATTAAAAAGGGCGAACAGAGAGATAATGCAGTACAGGTTACAGGTTGCCTGGAACTGACATCCAGCTTGCTGGGTTCCACTGGTCTCTGTCCTCTCTTAAAGCAAGCACAGAAAACCCGGCAACCACTCTGGGGCACTGAGTTGGCCGACACCAGCACCCGTGTCCCAGTGCACAAGAGCACGGATGACAACAGCGGGAGCGATGGCCAGATACTCACGCTGACTTTGGCGTAGATGTGCCTGTAGTAGAGCTCTTTGTACAAAATCAGGAAGACAGCGTCTGAAAGAGACGGCGGGGCGATTTAGTCATTTGCAAGACATCGTCCAGGATCTTGGCAGTCTGCTTCCTTGCGAAGGGGCTATCCACGACTAAACAACAGCAAAACCCTGAGGCCCCAGCACTGCACACACTAAGAAAACCCTACTTTCAACTCCACCTTCACCTCGTGCATTCCAATTCAAACTCCTTTTCCTTCTTGCAAACAGCGGCCAAGGCCATCCTGACAGAAAGAATGCAGCTGAGAATGCACACTGCGCAGTCTGAACGCGTTAGCGGGGCAGCGGTGGAAGGACAAACACACACACAGGACAGAATTGGGTGTAGACACAAGCCAGTTCACAAACAAATCTAACAGGGAGCATGTGATCTATAACATATAAAGAACTCTTGAAACTCAATAAAAAAGACAATCCAATTTTTAAAATGGGCAAAGGATGTGAACAGCTGTTTCTTCAGATGTTCAAACTGTCTGTCCATCATTAGCCACTGTCAGTCATTGCAGTCAATTCCAGCTCATGGCAACTCCTGATGTGCCGAGTGGAGCTCCTCCATAGGGTTTTTGGCTGTGTGTGACCTTGTGGAGACAGACTGCTCGGCATGTCCCGATGGGCTCAAAGCACCAACCTTTCAGCGAACTTTCTACACCAGCCGAAAGCTCTTTAGTCATTAAGAGAAATGCACATTGAAATCACGAGATACTGTTTCACATTCATGCTAAAAGGATCTACTCATATATAACTCTAACCCAGTCCATCGAGCCAATGTCATATGGTTTCCAAGGCTCTAAGTCTCTCCTGGGGCAGACAGCCTCATCCATCTCCTCTACAGCAGCTGGGGGATTTGAACCACCAGCCTAAGGGTTGGCAGTCCAAGTTTGCCCAACAGCATCACCAGGGCTCCTAATTACAAAAAAATGGCTATAATAATAATAACTTTTTAAAAAGCACAATCATTGCAATAGTACCACATCCCCATTAGAATTCTTAGGCTAGAAGAGTAAAATTGCAGACAAGGCAACTAATTTAAAAAAATCAGAATCATTATACAGCATTTCCTAACACCTGCTGCCAGGGTGAAGAGTTCTATCCAGAAAAACAGCGCTCCATTAATTCCATCCAACTATGCACTGTAGGACTTCATGAATGAGACAAGATCTGCTCTTCAGGACCTTTCCCATAGGAGGTGATTATAATTACAGTATCTTTAGGTGGGAACAAAGTGCTGGAGACAACCAGAAGAAAAGGAAGTTCCTTTCAGCTAGGGGCAGAGTCTGCAAGGAAAAGTCTTAAAGAAGCATGCGCTTGGATACAGAGAGGTAGAAGGGAGATTGTGATGACCCCAATTGTGACAGAGGCAAACTGGACAAAGGTCTCAATTTCAGCTCTCACCAGGTTATGAGGGGCCTCTGACATCTTATTTTATTCAATCTCCATTCAGCAATATTGATCAAGGACACACACACATACACACACTCTCTCTCTCTCTCTCACATGAACTCTGTAATGTCCCTGGCTAATTTCATTTAGAGATTTTTTTTTTTAATCCTCTTATTTATTCTTGATACAAGCTTTAGGTCCCAGAAAACTTGGATTGTAATCCTCTAACCCTCACTCATTCTTTAAGATGTTCCAACTCTTCCAGCACTCACAGCTCCAACCATGTGACCCCTTCCAACCCACAGGACCAGGCACACGGACGCGCACACCACCACCTACCGTTGCCAACCTGCGGGGCAATGGCTTCAGCCTCAGGCCAAGGTGTATTCTTGAAGAATCTTTCGGTCAACTTGGTCCAGCTGAAAACCAAAACAGAACAATTCTGGAACCCCCAAAATAAAAATGACCCAGGAAAGCCAACCCTCACATTTCACAGACCCAGAGCAGGGAAGGTATCACAGAAACAGACCTAGGCCCAGAGCTCCCAAGTCCACAGCTTTCTGAACCCCAACTCTGCATCTCAGACAAGCGTTCACAGCAGAGGATGACCAAGCCTTTCGGGATCGTCTCCAACCCCTGTGCCATGACCGCCATCAAATTTACCTGCTTGCTGTTCCCTACAGGAGACCTACCAGCGGTAACACCCGTTAGCCAAGCCATCCTCACTCCCGGGAGCACTGGGCTGCTCTCCTTTCCAGACAGTCTGATGCCACAACAAACCTGCACCACTTAATCGGAACACTGCTACCCATAATCCTCCCCACCCCACCGTCACCTGATTTCTGTCCATTTTCCTTCCCTCGACCCCTTTGGCAGATACTTCAACTCCACACACACACACACACACCCCGCCCGTCCTCAGGTAGCCACTTTCAGTTCAGCACGTAAACATGGATGTGTCCCTCCCACCCCCCAAAACAAACACACACACACACACACACACCACTCCCTCGTGCGCTCAATGATCCTCTAAACTTAAAAGCTCCTAACCTTGCAAATTACCAGGGTTCCCCCCCTAAGATACCAAATTCACTGGCTCCTTTCTCATCCTTGAGCTCAGGAGAAAGTACTGGATGCTGGCTGACCATCCCGTTTCTTCAGCCACTTCACTCTGATTTATGTCCTACTCTCCTGCCTGTGTCCCCTGTCCCCGACAGGTTCCTGGTCCTCTGTCCACTCCTGAGCAGCCTACGTCCCTAGGCACCATCCAGCTTTCTCAGGACATGCTCTCCCAGCAGGGTCGAGCACATGCTTGGCTTCAATTGTCTCCTGGACCTGCCTACTGTTCCACAGTAGCCACCAGCCACCTGCAACTAAGACAGCTAAGCAGCTGAACTTGACGTGTTAGTGAAATATTCTGTAAGTGTGGAAAGTGACATTCAACTCAGGAACTGAAAAACCATTTTCTAAAGTAAACTGGGTAGGTCCATCTTTTTCCACGGCAAACTATGTGAAATCTAAAGGTAGAGCAAGAAAATGTAGCGCACAGGCCGCTCTAAACTATTGACCACTATGGTGCCGTAGTATGTCAGCTGGCCCACATGCACGCTGCACACTGAATGCCGACGTCTGAAAGAGAATTGACATGTCGGAGTCCCGGTGCTGCCAAGGAATACTGAAAGCAGGATGGAACTCTCAGAACCAACAAATCTGTCTTGGAACGGAAGCAGTCCAGCCCGATGGCTCCTTGAAAGCATTATCAGGACAAGTGACCCTGAGAGAGCAGGTCCTGGCAAAGCACATCACACTAGACAAAGTAGGTCAGCGAAAATGAGGAAGGCGCTGAATGAGATGGTTGACACAGTAGCTCCAACACTGGGCTCCCACAGAACAATTCTGAGGATGGCACAGGACCGGGCAGTGTTCCATTTTGTTGTACACAGTGTCTCTGGGTCAGAGCCAACTCAATAGCACCTAACCACAACACTAACAGTCATGGATTAAACCACCGGACAATGCAAGGTGGGCAGCCAGGGGGACAGCAGGAAGACTGAAGAACGGATGCATGTGAATTAGAATGCTGGTGCAGGATGCGGACTACCCCCGGGGCTGCAAAAGGACCAGTGAATCTGTGTTGGAAGAAGTACAAGCGGAATACTCCTAGGAGCCAGGACTGCAAGGTTTCGTCTCATGTACTTTGCACATGGTATCAGAGGGGACCAGGCCCTAGAAAAGGCTGTCATGCTTGGGGGGAAAAGAAGGTCAGTGAGAACTAGGAAGGCAGAGTGGCTGCAACAACGGGCACAATCAAACGACGCTGTGAGGAGCGCAGGCCCCAGCAGGGTGTGTTCCGTTGTACAGAACTGACACAATGGCACCAAGCACCCAACAAGTCATTGATTCTGCTGCTACCGAGCTCACGGCGGTGTCGTGGTTAAGCACTCAACGGCTAATGTAAAGGCTGGCAGCTTGAGACCACCAGGAGCTCTGATAGAGACTTGGCAATCTGCTCCTGTCCAGAGTGCAGCTTTGCTGTTAGAGACCGTGGTGTCAGTTCCTGCCGAGTCAGTCACTAATCCAATAGGTCTTTTCTCTACTGACTAGAACTGACTTCGATTCTACTTTGTTGGTGAAGCCTTTCCTGACTCTGCCAGGCCTCAATGATCGGCTAATGTCTGTTTCGCAAGGACAGATCAAAACACCCAACCCACGTGTCAACTTGGACTGGTAGGGATCTTTAAGGATGGAGTAGAATGCCCTAGGCTGTGCTGCAACCGTTACAGAAACAAACAACACATCCCCCTCCCCTGGAGGGGCTGGAGGGTTCCACTCACTGACCTCCCGACAGCAGCCCAGCTCTGAGGCACTGGGCCACCAGGGCTCCTTGACACACAGGCAGAGCCCCTGTAACAAGACTCACCAGTCTGGCTGGCATGCAGAGTAGAAATCTGGCCCTGGTGTCAGACTATGCAGGTTAAATCCCAGCTGAGACCCTACCTATGGACACAGTGTAAACTGAAGGGTAAATGAGGACACACGGGATATAAGCATCCTGAACAGTGATTGGTCTGTACTGATACTATTGCAGTAACAGACTATCACTGCTATTATGATTGACATTACTATCTTTGGCCCTGTACATGTTCCTGGGGTAGGTAACAGAGTCCAACAAAATACAATGTCCGTTATCTCCAAGGAATCATATTACCCCTTGGGCAATCTCTCCACACAAAAACGATTACACATCACCCCTTTTGTAGGCCAGGTCCCCCCAGAAAAGGGTCAATTTAACCAGTGACGCGTACCTGTTCTCATAGATGTCCTGGATCTCGTACACCTTCTGGTCGATGACATCACTGGAGACCCGGCTAGCCTGCAGCTCATACACCTTCTGGTCAATCAGATCCGAGACAGTTTTGTGGAAATACTGGATGAAGTTTTTGATCACCTCCGGAATCACCTGGTACGTCTGCTGCTCATACTGACGTTCATAAGCCAGGTCCTGTTTTGGATCTCCTAGAGGTTGGATAAAATGTATTGTATTCAGCCCCATAGATGTGATACAATAAAAGGAAGGCAACACCACCACCAACTAAATTCTATGTGAAAGCAGACAACGAGCCGACACCAATTCACAGTGACCTGAGTGTTGTTGGAGCAGATCATACTCTGCAGGGTTTTCCATGGCTGGTTTGGAGGAAGCAGGTTACAGGCTTTTCCTCCCAGGCCTGTGGGTGTACTTGGACATCTCTGGTTAGCAGCTGACTGTTAATGACTGACATCAGCCAGAGCCTTTCGTGTCTCTGAAATCAGGTTAAACCTTTTAAACCCTCACATATAGCCCTCCCTAAGTCATCCTGAGGAGCCTCAGTGCCATAGTGGGTTACGTGTTGCGGTGCTAGCCTCAAGTTCAGCAGTTCGAAACCACCAGTTGCACCTCAGGAGAAAGGCTTTCTACTGAGTTATAGTCTCAATAACCCACACCAGCCGTTCTACTCTATCCTATAGAGCAGTGATTCTCAACCTGTGGGTCGCAACCCCTTTGGAGGTTGAACGACCCTTTCACAGAGGTCTCCCGATTCACAACAGTAGCAAAATTACAGTTATGAAGTAGCAACAAAAATAATTTTATAGTTCAATGGTTTCATTTGCATGTGGAAGCTGGGCAATGTTTAAGGAAGACCAAAGAGTTGATGGCCTCATTATGTACTGCCAGAAGATCTGTTTGGGAAGACATTCAGCTAGAGTACATATTCCTTAGAAGTGGAGAGCACGACACTTGTCATGTACTTTGGACATGTTACCAACTGGAGGGCCCACTTACCCATGGGGCCACTCTATGAGTAGGGGCCCTCTGTTGTTATTGGTCATTTTCAGTCAGAATCAATTTGATGGTCCCTATTAACAACATTCCTCTTGCAAATAGTCTCTCTTTTTATTAACATTTTACTTTAGTGTGCTACTTTGTTACAATGGATAAGCCAATAGGGATACATTATTACTAACTAAAGTCCCTAGCTTACATTAAGGTTCATTCCTGGTGTTGTACCGTTCTATCGGCTTTGACAAGGATCACACAGAATAGTTTCATGGCCCTTACACTGTCTTGTGCTTCAATGGGTCAAACCTCCCTCCGAGATTAATTTTTTTAGTGAATTTAACTGAAAATGAAACTTTATAATTGTGCATATGTACATGTGATATATGGATATATAATTGTATCTTGAAAGTCTACATGTGAAAAAAAAGTCTACATGTGTACACACAAACACAATCTTGTATTTAAGCGACACTCATTCTTTTCAGCTGCTTTTAAACTTCTTTAATAAAAGAAGCTGGCAAAAAAATAAAAATAGTTTTATGGTTGGGGGGGTCACCACAACATGAGGAACTGTATTAAAGGGTTGCGGCATTAGGAAGGTTGAGAACCACTGCTATAGCGTTATGAGTCAGAATGCAGGATCAACTTAATGCAAATTAATTTTTAAAAAAAATCAGTCTAAGGGCCAAAGATGAGGCTGCCTACTCACATAAAGATTTACTGTCTCAGGAGCACAAAGGGGCAGTTCTATAGGGTAACTCCTATGGGTAAGTGCGAGCTGGCACCAACTTGATGGCAGTGAGTTTTCTGATTCAACCTAAATGTCCTTGCTATGCTACTCACTCAATATACTTATCGCTACCGAAAATTAAAATTACTTATTTCCTGATTACGTGTTTGTCCCACTAAGACCTGAAGTCTATGAGGTCAAGAACCTGGTCTGTCTTGCTCCCACGGGTGGTAAGTACCGTAAGGCTGCCGAACAATTGTGTATGTGTCGGAGCGGGATGGACGGAGACCGCAGGCACTGTGACAGCCACTACCTTAGGTGTATGTCACTAAACCTTTCTGTGCTCAATGTCCTCCTCTGTAAAATGGAAATGGTAACGCACATCCCTCAGAGATGATGTAAGAATTAAATGGCACCCCCAGTGACGCAGCAGACTAAGCAGTGCTAACCCACCAGTGGCTCCAGGGGAGTAAGGGGAAGCAGTTTCCTCCCATAACGATTTACAGTCTTGGAAACCCTACAGAGGATCGCCGCTATGAGGATCAGAAATGGAATCGATGACAGTGGGGGGTTTTCAATAAAGCACCCCACAAGAATCCATGGCTAGCCAGGTCACCCCCAACATTTCAGAAAACCTCACAGCTTCCCACCTCCACCACCAAGCTTCATCTGGGAGCGGTTCGCATCACTTAAATTTCCCCGTCAAGATTTCCCTCTTCAGCCAGGGAGTTAAACTGCGAAACGGACAGCCAGCCCCATCAGGGATCCCTCTCTTCTTCGGAGAAGGGCGTGAATCACCCCCGGGGCCTCTTTTATGAGCGCCACACGAGCCCGCCGCCTGCGTGCTAATGACCGGCTCTAACCTGGCCCAGGGAGCATCTGTTTGAACCATTCCCAGCCGTGAACCCGTCGGACCCAGCTGAGCCACGCAAACGCGGGGGCCGGGGGGGGGGGGGTCTCACCTGTGTGCATGTCATAGTCGCCCGGGTAAGCATAGGGGTCGTAAGCAGCCTAGGAAGACAAAGACAGGGGCAGGACGGTCACCAATCCGTGAGGGGACAGCGCCCGGCCCTGGGATGGACCAGCGAGGGGACTCGGGGGACGAAGGTTAATAAAACGCAGTCTGTGCCCCGGAAGAGCCCACGCTTCTGCGAGAAAACGGCCCAGAAGTCGCACGGTCGCTATCACGGGGCGATAAGGGAGGGGGCTATTAAGGGGCTGGGGGAGACGCAGCAGGGGGTTAACAAGACGGACCCCCAGATCGATCAGGGGCGTTCGATTCCAGCCACGTGGAACCGGATCGGAACAGGGCCTGGCCAGCTCCGGCGGGGCGAGGGCACCGGCTCCCGGAGCGCGCGGGCGGCCAAGGAGGGTGAGGAGCCCGGAGCTGTGGCCTCGGAGGGCCGCGGGGGCTCCCGGAAAGGCCCGCCGCCACCCCCGGGCGCAGCACCCACAGGGGCGCTCCCTGCCGCGCCGCAGACCCCACCACGCGCTCGGGGCCACGATACCTCAGACTCGTAGTCATCCGCGGGATACGACATGGCTGCGGCGCTCGGGAACCCCGCCGGAGAGGGCGGAAGAGGCGGTCTGCGGCTGCGTGGTGACACCGGAAGTTCTTTCCCGCTCAGCCCGGCGGGAAACCGGAAGTCCTTTCGAAGGGGCGGGCCATCGGAGACCGCCACGTTGGGAAGGGCGAACGTGAACCAGAACGCCTTCTTGTCTTCCTTTTTCAAATAGGGGCCTTGGAAGGAGAATAATTTTTCTGTGTTGCATAAGTCCATAAATAAAGACGTGAACGAATTAGAGGTAGATAAAGGATCGCGACGTAAGGGAATCCAGAGTTATGCCGCACCAAAAAAAAAATAATTGCAAACTCCCTAGGGAGTTGCCAAGCCCGGATGTAGAGGATGCGACTCTGCGTGTTTAGAGGTAGATGGGTTGCCCACGGTGGGCAATGTCTCAGACGTTCTGGCTTCAGAAGATTCGACGAACTAGGTTAAGAGTTGAGCCGTGGCTGCCATGCAGTGAGAAGGCAGGGTGAATGTTCCTTTTCAGGATTTTGAAATGTTTGTGGTTTTGCACAGAATGCAGTTTTCTGCTTTTCTGATTTCTCACATAATTTGGTCCGTGATTTCTTGTTCTAGCGTGAGACAGGACGCAGCCCAGGACCCCCTTACTAAATCATCTGAAGGACCCCCAGCACCCCCTTGGAGCCCCTGCATTAAATCAGCTCAAATCATTTGTGAAAAGACTGGCAGTCAGGCAGGACTTGCAGACAACCAAAGCAAAGAGCCACACCAGAGTGGAGAACCCAGATCCTGGAACAAACTGCCCCTCACATCGCTAAGGTTGCTTTGTAGGAGCCCAGGAGCTCACCATGCAGAGGCGGGAGTGGGGGACTGTCCACCCCCCAAAGGGGGCTGCACAAGTGTGGCATTCCATAACAAGTGTGGCCCCCTATGCCAGAACCCCTTGTGAACAGCATCTGTCGTGGAAAACAATTCCTTGCACACCCTAGTAACATATTCCAAGGAAACGCCAGACGCCCCCACCCCCACCCGGCCTATTTTAAGGAATGGGTATACCCTCCCTGCTGTGCCTTGCAGGACTCAAAATCCTGACCCCTGGATCTTAGGTGGGCATTGCTTAGGCCCTCCTCATCTCCCCCAGCGGGCTTCTTCTCCCATCATGTGGTGGGCTTGTGCGGAAACTCTGCCTCTCCTGATCTTTCTTGGTCAGTAGAAGGCAAGAACCCTCCTTTGAAGGGTCAAGCCGGGAAAAGGGCGTTGCAATTCTAAATGGGATGCTCTAGAATCGATGGCATCAGAGTAACATTTGAAGGGGCTAGATACCTGAGAAGGTTGTCTTCTAGAATCTAGTTGTCCATAACTGTGAGTGCAAAAGTCCTAATAAGTGCGCCTGCGTGGGAAAAGCTGGGAAGGCAAAGTGAGTAAGGTAGGCAAACGCAGGGGCCCCAAGACGATGAGATGAGAGCAACTGGTCACATAGGAAATTATACTGGCACCCTGACCAATGCTTGGTGGGGCAGGTGGCTAAACTACAATCCTTGAACAAATAGAGGTATAAAACCACCACATGGTTTCCATTGGCTTTATAAACCTCATCCCTAACTCAAGGCGTCTCTGATAAGACTCGCAACGACTCCACATTAAGACTTTGACCACTAAGCACAGAGTGGCAGGGCTTTCATTCAAGCCTGGGACAGTGCCACCCCCAGCAACAAGACCCAGTTTTATGTTTGTAATGCTTTATTCTTTACTGTTTACATAAGCTTCCTGAGAGGTCAACACTGAGACACTGAACGGAAATAGGATAGAGACAAAGAACGTGAGGCTGAGAGCGGCTTTCTTAGGGCGGGGAAAAAGCTCCCGTGAGGGAAGGGAGAGCAGAGAGAGGGACAGGAGCATCTTGAGCTCCTGGGCGGGTTCCAAGACCCAATGAGTTAGGTCAGGGAAATTGCGGCTTGTGGGTGAGGCGGTGGGAGACATATAGGGCTCGAGCTAGGGAAGTATACGTTGACAAGAAAGGAGATTTTTTTGCTTGCAGCTGCAGGACCTTGAGTCAGGATACGATCCGTGGGAAGTGCCTTTGTTGTTCGCCAACCTGCTCCCTGGCGTGCTGGGACAGGGCTGCACAGCCTTGGTCTGGGGAGATAAGCTCCTTGGAATGCTGGGGCAGAAGATGCAGACTTCAATCGGTCATTTATCTTCCCAAGAGGCTGGAGATGGGGGCCTTGAAGTTCTATCCTCCTGAGGAGCTGGAGAAGAGATGGGGGCTGCCTCGTCCAGACCTGGCCCAAACACTTCCCTCTCACTCCCTGCCATCAAGTCGATGCTGACTCATAGTGACCCTCGATGGGTTTCTGAAACTAACTTTATGGGAGAAGAAAGTCCAGTCCTTCTCCCTAGGAGCTGCTGGTGGTTTTGAACTGCTGACTCTGTGGATTGCAGCCCAACAAGTAACCACTGTGCTATGCCTCAGTTTTCCTTTGTGTAATACACATATAAGCATAGCATTATCCCACACCTTAGAAGATCCCAGATAGAGTGGGAGAAAAAAGTGGAACAAAATTCAAAATAGTAAAAATAAAAAAAAATTTAAACACTGTGCTACTGGTCTGACAGAGATGGATGGAACCCCTCAAACTATGGCCCTAGTCATTGTTCAGAAATGAATTCACTCTCCTGGTTCAGCTTTTGGCCAAACAATAGACAGGTCCATAAAGGGAACAATAATACTACAGGGGTACAAACCTCTTAGAATCAACAACCATTTGCGATCAAAAGGGCGGCAATTGCCAGAGGACAGAGTTCCTAAGGAAGGAAGGGGCTGGAGAGAGAGAGCCTGGGATGGAAACAGAGGGAGTGGGGGTGCATGCTGTTAGGCAGTGGCGGTTCTCAACCTGTGGGTCATGACCCTTGCACAGGGGTTCCCAATTCATCACAGTAGCAAAATGACAGTGATGAAGTAGCACCGAAAATTTTATGTGAGGGAGGGTGGAGCGGGGAGAGAGAGGGAAAAAATAAGGAGCTGATACCAAGGGCTCAAGTGGAAAACAAATGTTTTGAGAATGATGACGGCAGCAAATATACAAATGTGCTTGACACAATGGATGGATGGATGGATTGTGATAAGAGTTGTAGGAGCCCCCAATAAAATGATTTAAAAATAATAATAAAATAAAAATAATTTTATGGTTGGGGGGTCGCCACTGTATTAAAGGGGAACTGTATGAAAGGGTCGCAGCATGAGGAAGGTGGAGAACCACTGCTTAGAGCCTTCAGGATGCATTACAGCCCTCAGCACTGGAATCTCATTTAAACAGTGCACCATTCAGTCCTTTGTCCTCCGCTCATTCACTTATGGGTTCCTAACTCTTCTTCCCAAGGGTGCTCAGAGCACTGAGAGATGAAGCATGTGTTGTAGCCTTCGCTAGCCATTACAGTCCAACAGGGAGAAAGGAAAAACTCGCACAAGTGGAGCTGTCATTGACATCCGGCAAACGGTGGCCTGGAGCCGCTAAGGACTGGCGATCCACAAACCCGTGGAATGGAAACAGCAGTAAAAACAAAACAACAACAAAAAATCACATGATATATGTGCTGCATTGGGCAAGTCTACTGCAAAAGACCTGTGAAAACTGTTACAAAGCCAAGAAGTCACTTTGAGAACGAAGGTGTGCCTGATCCAGGCTGTGGTACTTTCATCTGCCTCAGAGACTAGAAAGCGTTGTTTTCTTTAAATTACAGTGTTGGTGAATAGTATTAAATATATCATTACCATATCTGTCTTTGAAGAAATACAGCTGGTATGTTCCTTAGAAGTGTGGATGACGGTACAATTCTTAATCAGATGGACCTATTGAATTGCCATTCAATATGATATGTGAATTATATGCAATAGACTATTTAAAAAAGTGTGCACAGCACTGTTTCATCTCATAGACTTTGTACATGTTCTGGGGCGGGGAGCAGTCTCTGGAAGAAGACATTATTGGTAAAGTAGAGGGTCATTGAGAAAGGAATTGACACACGGCTGACATGATGGGCTCAAACCTAGGAAGGACTGTGGGGACGTCTCGGGAGCTAGCAGTGTTTTGTTGGGTAGTACACACCGTTGCTGTGAGTCTGAGCCAATTAGAAGGCACCCGGCAAGGACACAATAAAGCTTCTAGAATATACACTGTGGAGAACCACAAGGAACATTAGAATCATCAAGGCTCAGAGAGGACCTTCCTCACTGGCTAGTAATTCTCTCTTGCGTTGCTGGCCCCTCATCTCTTCAATCGCCAACGAGTAAATGATGCTTCATTCCTCCCTGGGCTTGGTCCTTGGACCTCTGCCTTCCCTGTCTTCATTTCCTGGCCCATTCCATCCCAAATCAAGCCAATCCTCTGCCCCACTCAATCCCAACAGGAGAGAGCAGAACTGCTCCATAGACTTTGCGAGCTATAAGTCACTGCGGAAACAGACTGGCTCATTCCTCTTTCTCCCCAGCGGCGGCTGGTGTGATGGAACCACCAACCCTACCATTCGCAGCTCGGCGCTTAACCCACTGTGCCACCAAGGCGCCTTTTCAACCAGCCCAGTAGTTCTAAATATCCTCCATAAGCCAGTAAGGTGCTAGCTACATCCCAGATCCCAGCCTGGGAATAAGGAGCCCGTGGCCCCCTGAACTTACCCTAGCGCATGATCATCTGGCTCTGCCCTGCTCCGTCCCTAATTTCCCCCTCGCAGTTCAAACCACTCCACTCTTGAAGTCACTCAGGATAAAGCCTGCAGCACTAGCTTTAATTCCTCTCTCTCTCTCTCTCTCTCTCTCTCCTCCTACACACAATCCATTGGCAAATCTCATTGGCTCTACCTTCACAATGAGTCCCCGATTCTTCCTTTGCCCCCTTTGGTCTCTATCACACCTAGCCAAGCCACCACCCCCTTGCCTGTATTGTAAGAGCCGCCTCTGCCCTTCGCTCTCAGTGCTCACTGGTAGAACTGCATCTGAGTTCCCGTCCAGGGCTTGCCAGCACAGGAAGCAGAAAGGCACTGTGACCTCAGAGCAGATGGACCCCTCACAGACGA